GGAAAGAGAGAGGCGCCTGGGTGGCTCAGTAGGTTAAGCGTCTGACTTTGGCTCAGGTCATGATCTCACGGTTTATGAGTTCGAGCCCCTCATTGGGCTCTGTGCTGACAGGTCAGAGAGTGAAGCCTGCTTCGGATTCTGCGTCTCCCTCTCTCTCTCTGCCCCTCCCCCACTCATGCTCTTTCTCCCTCTCTCTTTCAAAAATAAATAAACATTAAAAAAATTGTTTTAAGGGAAGAGAGAACACCATAGTGGGTCTGGAACCCGGTGGGCAAGAGGAGATGCTGGGGTGCAAAAGCCATCAGAGGGCAGATCTTGGACTGCCTCATAAATCAGCATTCAGTGTGTGGATTTTATTTTATTTTATTAATATTTATTTATTTTTGAGAGAGAGAGAGAGAGAGACAGAGCATGAACAGGGGAGAGGCAGAGAGAGAGGGAGACACCGAATCCGAAGCAGGCTCTAGGCTCCAGGCTGTCAGCACAGCCTGACCCGGGGCTCAAACCCACGAACTATGACATCATGACCCGAGCTGAAGTTGGACACTTAACCGATTGCCACCCAGGCGCCCCTCAGTGTGTGGATTTTAATCTTAGATGTCTGATAATGGCATGAAGGGATTCATAATTTTAAAAAATAACCCTGGTGGCTGGGTATAAAAAATCACTGGGACAAGTCTTAGATTGGGCTGCTAAGACAGAATAAACTGGGTTGCTTAAACAAACAAACAAACAAAAATGTACTTTTCACCATTCTGTAAGCTGTAAAATCTGAGATCACGGTGCAGCCAAATTGAGTTATGGTGAGAGCTCTCTTTCTGATTTGTACATGGCCCTCTTCTTGTTGCCTCCTCAAGTACAGAAAAAGGAAACTCCCTAATGTCTTATAAGGGCACTAATTCTATTCATGAGACCTCAGTCCTCATGATCCAATTACCTACCAAAGCTTCCACCTCCCAACATCCATCTCACTGGGGGTTAGAATTTCAGCATATAAATGACGCGTGGGGGGGGGGGGTACAAACATCCCATCTATGAGAGAAAGGGAAGGTGGAAGATATTAGACTAGTTCATAGACTATGAGGATAACAGCTGATCGGGGTGGTAGTGAGGTGAATAGATTCAACGTAATCAGTTTTGAAGTGAGGAATTGACAGCAATTGCTATGATAGTTTGTTCACGGGTGAGTAAGAAAGCAAGACTCCTGGCTTTTAAGCCTGAACAATTAAATGAAATGGTGCCACTTACCATAATGGGGAAGAATACAGGAGAGACAGGACATTCATGCAGTTGGTGGGTGGATCCCTTCTAAACTGATTAATTTAGATATGCTTTTAGATATCCCAGTGCAGATAGATGAGTCAAGAGCTAAAAAGTCTTGAGCTGCTGGTAGAGGTTTGGAATAAGAGCTTATTAAGAAGCTTTAAAACCAAGAGACTGAATAGTAACTAGTCTCTGAGAACAGATTTTCTATAAAGACAAGAGTTACATGAATGGTATAATGGAAACTTAGTTGGGGTCTGGAGGTTTCCAGAAGGAGCCAGCCTACCTACCTTGGGGGTTGGGGGATTTACCTCAGGCAAGACCTGGTGCTCAGATTTTCATGGTCAGAAACTTGATAGGTCTACACAATAAGAAGCAATTCCTTCCTCAGGGACACAAAAACCAATAGTTCACAAAACTGAAATATGAAGCCAAATCATAATTTATTAATTAGTGTAAGGACCAGATAATTTTGAAATGAACGGCATCTATATTTAAACAATAGGAATTTCTATAAATGGAACTAAATTTTACTTAGGACCCTTCTTATGCTAATCCTTTAAATGCCCCTGTTCTGATGCTGATTCTATTATAATTAGAATTTCCTACACTGAAAGGAATGTGTTACCTATGTTAATAGAATTACCTTGAGGTAGTCTACCTCTCTCCTGGAATGGTTTACCAATAGCACCATAAATACTTTGGTGAATATTTTCTTTCTTAAAGAACCTCTGAATTGTGCTTGAATTGATGTTACAGATACTTGCCTCTGCAAATCATGCTTGAAGGCTCACTTTCCTGACCAATCTCTCTCTCTCTCTCTTTTTTTTTTTTTTCTGATTGACAAGTTATTTTCTCTGAATATATTAATGGACTCAGTGAGATTTCTTCAGTATTCTTAACAATTCTGTTACTTCAGATGTATTTGCCTATATCTCAGCTGTGCATCAATTTAATAACAAATCTCTAGTTGCAATGGTATGCCTCTTGCATGCAGGTTTCGGGGGAAACCTATAGGTGCCCTATAAGATCACAAATCACTCAAGAGTCTTTCAGTGGTACTTAGTTGGCTGTTTTTATTGAAATAACCGAAGACTAAAATTTTTCTCCACACTATGAATGGAAGAAAAATAAAGTATGTTCGTGATAAATTTGAATTATTCATATATTCAATTGACCATATTTTGCCCAGTCCCAATATGCCAGTGAAACAACTCTTGTATGGCATTTCACCTCTTTAATTTGGATATTCAGGTGACGTTATTTAAAAGTTTATTTCTTACAATCTGTGAGCCCAGAATTATTTCAAAGTAACTACACTTCATCGAAGAATTTATAGATTACCTTTGAAACTCAAAGCAATCCTGCTATGTGTGGAATTTCCTGGTTAGTAAATATTAAGCTAGGATTTAGAAACTCCTATCTCCTAACATTTAATCTTAGAATATTGATAGCTAAGATTTCTTGTTGTTTGTTTTTTTTTTTTTTCTATGAGCAGTATTTTGCTAGGTACTTTTAAAAAAAATCTCATTTAATCAGCACACAAAGTAGGTCATTGTATTTTGCTCTATTTATAGCAAAATAAACTGAAAAATTATAGGATGAAATTTCTGCCTAAATCCTCAGAACTGTGAAGAGATGCCACAGGTTTTGCACAAAGGGAAGCTGACTTCAGAGTTCATAAGCACTGAACCATAATGATCAATTATGGGAACTTTATTGAAGTATAATTAACATAGTGCTGTGTTAGTTTCAAGTGTATAATATAAGGATTCAACAATTCCCTACACACTCAGTGCTCATCAGGATAAGTGTACTCTTAATTCTCTTTCTCTATTTCACCCATCACCCCTACCCACCTCCCCTCTGGCAGACATCAGTCTGTTTTCTATTTAAGAGTCTGTTTTTTTTGTCTTTTTTCTTCATTTATTTTGTTTCTTAAAGTCCACATATGAGTAAACTCATATGGTATTTGTCTTTTTCTGTCTGGCTTATTTCATTTAGCATCATACATTTTAGGTCCACTCATGTTGTTGTAAATGGCAAGATCTCATTCTTTTCTATGGCTGAGTAATTATAAATATATATGTATATATGCATATATATATATATATATATATATATACACACACACACATACACACACACACACCACATTATATGTATATAATGTATATAATGTATATGTATATAATACCACATATGTATATAATGTGATATATATCACATAATTTATATCACACCATATTGTGATATATATCACATTATATATATCTCACATTACATATCTATATAGAGATACCTCACATTATATATCTATATTAGATATATAGATATACCACATTATATATCCATCATATATATATATATATATATATATATATACACCCATTACACATTTCTTTATTCATCTATGGATAACACTTGGGTTACTTCTATATATTGGCTATTGTAAATAATGCTGTAGTAATCATTGGGGTGCATATATCTTTTCAAATTAGTGTTTTCACTTTCTTTCAGAAAATACCCAGTAGTAGAATTATTGCATTAAATGATAATTATATTTTTAATTTTTTGAGGAACTTTCATACTGTTTCCCACATGGCCGCACCAATTTGCATTTCTGCCAACAGTGCACGAAGGTTCCTTTTTCTCCACATCCTTGCCAACACTTGTTATTTCTTGTCTTTTTTATTTTAGCCATTCTGACAGATAGGAGGTGACATCTCACTGTAGTTTTGATTTGCATTTCCCTGATGATGAGTGATGCTGGGCATCTTGTCATGTGTCTGTTGGCCATCTCTATGCCTTCTTTGGAAAATGTCTATTTAGGTCCTCTGCCCATTTTTTAATTGGGTTATTTGTTTCTTTGATGTTGAGTTATATATATTCTGTATATGTTTTGGATATTAACCGCTCATCAAAGACATCGTTTTCATGTATCTTCTCCCATTCAGTAAGGTGGTTGCCTTGCCATTTTGTTGATGGTTTCCTTCATTGTGCAAAAGCTTTTTATTTTCATGTAGTCCCAATAACTTAATGTTGCTTTGTTTCCTTTGCCTGGTGAGACGTATCTAGAAAAAGCATTTCTATGCCTGATGTCAAAGAAATTACTACCCTGTTTTCTTCTGGGGATTTATGGTTTCAGGTTTCACATTTGAGTCTTTATTCCACTTTAAGTTTAGTTTTTTTGTACAGTGTAAGACAGTGGTCTAGTTGTATTCTTTTGCATATAACTGTCCAGTTTTCCCACGATTATGGAAGCTTTAATGCTCCAAATGGTCTTCATTTTCATGAGACCTCCATAGTTTGTTTTTCTTTAAATTATTATATTAAATAATTGTCCATTTTTATTTGTAACACTGATATAATATAATATAATGTAATATAATATAATAAGATAAGATAAGATAAGATAAGATAAGATAAGATAAGATAGTAATCACGTGAAGGAATAGTGACATTGTTAATAAAATGACAGACCTAGTCAAGTTTGCAAATGGAGTCCTATAATCAGTCCTGAAATCATTATCAGGTTTATGTAATGTTATCCGAAATAAACAGTAAAGTTTACAACCTGAAATATAATCTCTTTAGAAATACCACTCAGTAGCTGAGATTATGACATGCTAATAATAAAGTCAAGAAAAAAAAAACAGGCTTTGTGGATTACTTACTAATTTTGTTCAAGAGTACCTTCATTTCATTCCTTTTTTTTTTTTTTTTTTTTTTTTCAGAAAAGTTACTCCAAGCATGAATCTTGCAGTATGTCTATAGCGTTATCTTCTCATGCAAAGAACAGCAAAATATACAAAGGTATTTATGTTGCTTGTTTTTCCTGGTAATTATTGCAAGAAATGGCATCTACTTTTTTGTTATATGTACTCATCAATATTTCATTTACAAATGAAGTAGCACTTCATGAATTCTTACATAACCTTCATTCAGCCAGAATATGCTCTCAATATGATATATAATAATCTCAGAAGTCTGGATAATAAATTATCTCAGGTGCTTTCTCTGAGGTCTGTAGAAAAATTGGAGTCCCTAGCCACAAAGGTTAATTGCTGATACTGTCACCCACCTACCTTTGTTCTGATAAGCTTTCACTTGCTTTAACCATCTGTCTCTACCACTTTACCACTTCAGAGATCTATTATATTAGAGCCTTACAATGCCATTCTGGTATTTCTTTCTCTTCTCTCTCTCTCTTTTCCTTCCTTCTTTCCTTCCTTCCTTCCTTCCTTCCTTCCTTCCTTCCTTCTTTCCTTCTTTCCTTCTTCCCTCTCTCTCTTTCTTTCTTCCCTGTTTGTGGTCCCCTCTGCCATGAAATATGAGGCAAATTTCATAAAGTGAGACTTGAATTTTCCTTTGAAACATCACCATGTGCTTCTGCAAAACCTTCCTTCTCTGCAACCCATGGAGTAATTTACTGCCCTGAACAGTTTTTTGCCCTGTGGTAAAAGTCTTCGATCAAGGGTTTCTATCCCTCTTTGGTCAAGTCCTACAATCCTGCCTACAAGTCCTCCCGACTTCTGCCCTCTTGGTATATGACGGAGACATTTCTGACTTGGTGACTAAAAGTTCTCAAGGCAAATATGGTAACAGAATCCTTTCCGTGGCTGAGACAAAGCTATGTGTTCATTTGATTATCTTTCTAAGTACACCTACCAACTGCAAAACGGGCTCTAGCTGTTTTCTACGACATGATTCCACACTCACCTGATCCATGATGATTGGACCAGTCATCAACACAATATGGAGTCACCTGTCCAGAAATTAGGCCTGGGCAGAACAACTTCAGGTAACTGACTGCTAAGTACACTGAGGTACAAGGAAAACTAAGTTGGTATTAAAGTTCTGAGCTTCATCAGTCTCTACATTAGATTACTTGACGTGTTATCTTTCTACACATCAGTGTTCTTGCATACAAAATGTGGCTGAACTAGATGCTGCCAAAGGCCCATTGCTTGGTTTCTTTGACTCCATTTCTGTTTATGCTCCTTGATTTTAGATTACTTTTTTGACTATGTATTAAGCCTCCAAATCTAGACTGGGAACTCTCTTTCTCTGCTTCCATGATATCTTGTGTATTGCTCTATCTTATCTATTGCAGCATAGTATTCCAATTATCTGTTTACTTGTGAAATGCCACACTTAACCTATGAGTCCGCTAAGATCAGGAATTTTGGAGGCCAGCACATAGAAGAATATTATTTTTGAGTTAATAATTAATCTCTTAATAACTATATACACAAAAGGGTTGGGCTCCTAAACATAATTTACAGCAAAATTCCAGATAATTCTGTTTTGACAAAGAATTCTCTCTCTTCCCTGAAATATCTGCAATGTGCTACAAGACTACAAGACCTTTACCAAAAGCAGATGTTGTGAAGTCGGATGAAGCCATCATTCAGACATGTGGAATGTCCAAAACTGTCATTTTTTGGCAACCATAAGTCTGCTCTGGTATCTCGATTCAGAGACATGGACTATTTTCTGCAGGATTGTATTATAAATAGTTCATTTAAATCTCAAAATTACAAAGACTGTTTAAACTTGTATTTGGGGTCTAACATGAATAATCACTAGTTCTATTTTTCTATTTTTAGTTCTTATCAGATTGGCAAATAGTGTATATTAGATCATATTAAGTTTTATTTAATATTATGAAAACTATTTTATAAGTTACATGTGAGTATCATATATTTTTGGATGGTAAAGTGTGTTAAGTTTGGGGATATTATTATTAGTGTTTTCGAGTAATATCTGAAGCCATACCTTAAATTCCAACTGGCGCCGAGGTAGACTAATTAAAAAGCATAAAGTGGTTTTACTAGTCACCGCGTTTTGTTTAAACAGTTCTATCCATGACTACCATTTAGTTCTGATACTTTATGAGACTGAGGCTTTATGCTTATATTTGAGGAAATACCAGATTTGGGGAGAATATTCCCCATTTTGCCTGTATATACACCAAAATTACAAGAAAAGAGAAGACAAATAGAGTAATCATTCTAAATATGCAGAAAATCCTTACAGAAAACAATTTAATTTCTAACTATTGGCATGGTAGGTAGCAAATCCATCCAATTAGAGGCAGTGGGAGTGCCCATCACTCTCTGAGATACCCCACAACCAAGGAAATGGATGGAGGTGTGAATGCTGACCGGCTTGGCAAATGACAAAACCCAGAAGCACACCTTCATGAAAAAAGAGTGATGTCAGAAAATTTTGTGAGGCCTTGGGGAGACTTGGAGGCATGTTAGATAAAATATTAGGGAATTAAAATAAGTTCTGGAGAGGGGCGCCTGGGTGACTCAGCTAGTTAAATTGGACTCTTGGTTTCAGCTCAGGTCATGATCTCCTGGTTTCTTGAGTTCAAGCCCCTTGCTGGGTTCTGAGCTGCCAGCAGGGAGCCTGCTTGGGATTCCCTCTCTCTCTCTCTCTCTCTCTCTCTCTCTCTCTCTCTCTATTTCTCTGCCACTCCCCCACTCACGTTGTCTCTGTCTTTCTCAAAATAGAAATTAATAAACTTAAAAAAATAAGTTCTTGAGATGATTAATCGCTAAGTTGCTTCTTTTCATCTTTGCTGCAGGGTGTCACTTTCTTCTAACCTCCACCTTTTTTCCTTTTTTTTCTGCTTCTAATACCATATGCATTTTCATTACAGAAATCCTTGAATTCAGAGTCATAAGGTTATCTTCTCAACTGTATAATTCTAAACACCCCAAAATTGATATTATCTTTTAATAAGTGGTGTTTTTGATGAGCATGTGAGAAACTACTATATGTGATGTATTTCTCTTTCAGCTAAAACCCTTTGCATATTTTAAAACATAAATCTTGTAAGGGAAACACTTTCCTGAATCCATTCCTGCCTTTCCATATCTAGTTCAACTGTAGTTGTTCAATGGCATTGATTAGGAAAATACAGGACGATCTAAAGTCATGAATTTAGAAGGCAAGCACACAAAATATTTTTGAGCCCTAACATAAAGTGTTTCAGTTTATTGCATCCTGCCAGAGAATTTTGACCAAAACCCTAGAATCTGATGTCTTTATGTAAGGACTCAAATTCTAAGCAGCACTAGTAAAACCCAATGTTTCTTACTATCGAAAGAGTGACTATATATAGGGAATTTTCCAAATATGTATCTGCTCTTCTACATTTGAACTCTTCATTTGTGTTCACTGTTATACAGAAGATGAATTCTAAACTCTTTGCATGATCCACAAAGTCCTCTATGTTATGACTTTAGACTGCTTTTTTAATATCTCCTTCTTTCTTCCTATAAACAGGTCCTCCTTAGTAAAGAGAGTTGTAACCAATATGCATTTTCACTAAATATGAAAACGTAGATGCTAACATCCATATTCGGGCTTTCAGAAGAAGCCCAATCCTACCATAATGGACAGAATTAATTTCTAGTTTACCAAAATAAACCTGAAATTGTATCAAAATTAATTATAGCAGCTTTATCCAAAAATTAGTAGACAATTTTTTTTTTAATTTCACATTGTCCTACAAGAACAATTATTTCTGAACACAGTGTCAGCTGCTGGATTATTCCTGTAGTTACTGGACTACACATGTGCAATGTTCAAATGACATTTGTTTTCCTTTGAGATGGAGCAACACTAAAATGTTTGTTTTGACTTCCCTACCTTGGTACTTAAGGTTGTGGCCTAGTCATTATTTTACCTTTCTCTCCAAGATGACCTACTGGGGTATAGATTTATCACTCATTCATATGCTAGACTGGAAAATATGATTCATGATGTTCGGGGCTTTTATTGATGTGACCCCCAAAGTGAAGCTTCACATACTAGGTGACAAAAAGCTTTTTAATATTTTTCAAGTATGTACCTAATATGATTGTCTCCATTCAACATCTTGTTTGTCTTGTTTTAATTTATAATATTTTTATGAGTTCCACTGATTCATACAGAAGTTGTAAGAAAAATTGTCCTGATATATGGGCTCAGAAGTAGTTGGTTTTAAGCTAATAAAACAATGTTCATGTGCCTCTGCATTCATATTATGCACGCTTCCTACAATATCTTTGTAACAGATTGATAGCAGCAACTTTACAGAGAAGTCAAGGAAGATATACTTACACTCTGGATCACATGAGTTCCGGTTACTTGAAAGGAACTGCTTTATATTCAAATAACCATTAGTATTGAACAATATCAAGAGTGGGAAAACAATTTACAATGTATAATTTTAATCCTTTCTTTTGTTCAAGAATCCTCCTCAATGAAAAACAAAAATGCTTTTCCTTCTTTTAAAAACATTTATGTGAGAATAAAATGGGTGTGATCTAATCTTTCCTGAATGTCACAGAGTTCTTCTTCAGCTATAGGATAAAAAAAAAAATGTTGAAAGCAATCACCCATCTTTGTAGTCATGGTCATTAATTCTGTTTCATAAAAGTTGTTCTGTAATTATTTTGTTAAAAAAATCAACTGTGAAAGATCTACATATAACTTTGCATACTAGTGATCACTAAATCACTTATAGCCAATAACAATTACATGTACACACACACACACACACACACACACACACACACACACACACACATTATATTTACTTATTTATTTTGAGAGAGAGAGAACAAGCAGGGAAGGGGCAGAGAGAGAAAGGGAGAGAACCCCCAGGAAGCCTCTGCACTGTCATTGTGGAGCCTGATGTAGGACTCAGTCCCACGGCACCATGAGATCATGACCTGAGCTGAAACCAAGAGTTGGACACTAATGAACTGAGCCACCCAGCTGCCCCCAAGATGTTTTTTTTGTATAGATTTTCT